ATATGTGTATTTTTACGTCCTGAACAATCGCTATTAAGTGACTTTCATCGATTTACTTAATAGAATTTTGACTTTTGTATATAGAAACTACTTCCAGATTTTGAAAAATTATCAGGAGTAGCTTATTTTCGGAATTACAAATTTTTCTATGTTTCTTCTCCAAGAAAAAAGGGGATAGCTTATTTTCGGAGGTGGCTTATTTTTGGCAATATACGGTAAACTGTACAAATATAAAAATTTTTAGTATAGTCATCAATAATATAGCTATACAATATAATAAAGTATTGTATTTAAGCTCTTACAAGACTATTAAAAAGTAATAAATATTAATTAATAATTAAATAAAAATATAAAAAAATTAAATTAATTATATAATAAAAATATAATAAATACTATATAATAGGTTTTGGTTAGAATAAATAATTTATATAATTTAAAGTTTTAAAACATTTAAGAAGTAGTTCATAGTTAAAAAGTATAATTATTACTAAGTATCATAGTCAGACTTATAGATTTTTTATAGTAGTAAAATGCCAATTCATTTATTTTGTTTACTAAGTAAGCATCTTTTGAATTTTTAATTAAAGTTGTAGAATGCATTATTATGATTCTAATGATAATAAAATTATTAAATCAGTTGTGTAAATCACAAAATATTAAGACTTTTTTCTTTTTTACTATATGGTTTTCCTTTATTCACAGAAATATTTGGCATTCTATCACTATATAAAAGTTATAGTAAAATGCTCACCATATTTTATATCCTTTTAACTGCAGACTACCCTTTAACTTTTTCTAATGATTCTTTGTACCAAAATTTACAACTAAACTTTTTTAATAAAATAATAATAAACTATAGTTAAATAGCAAAAAAGTATAAAACTAAGCAGAACCATAAACCAGCACCTACACTACTTGCTAACAGATTTAGAGTTTATTACTCACCATGAGGTTGGCACTTGTTAGTTCTTATATACTACCTGCTAACAAGTTTAGAGTTTATCATCTACTAATTAAAAAGCTAGCAATATATACATTTTTATATCTTGTTATTTTTACAAAAAAATATATTTTCTTTTAAGAAGAAAACAAGATCTATTCTTCTTACTATCACCTACTTGTACTTTTACTAAAATTTTTTAAAAAAGTAAACAAAACAGCTTACTCTATTAGAAGATTAGCATTGTTTACTCCTTTTTTTTTTGAATAACAATGCAATAAATTACAACTATATATTTTTAGTAAACATGTTGCTATGCTATATAACAAAACAAATTTTTACTTAAATAAGTTATTCAAAACCAATCTGATAGTCAAAAAAACAAATTAAACATTAAGACATAACTTTACAATAGAAATGTATTAAATGTTATAGTTAATATATAATTTTTTAACCTTGTACAAATTATAATAATGTATTTTTTTCTTAGTAGTATGTTAGGGCTATATTTATTTTTTTTGTTATTTCATCTTTTTTGTCTTTTTATATTTAGATTTGATATATTCTCTCTTTTGTTATATTACTCTTTTTTTTTATTTTATTTTTTTTTATTTAGTTGTGATTTAATAGTTCAGCTTTTAAGCTAGGTGGAAAAGATCTTAAAGAAATAAGATGGTCTTGACAAGCTATAAATCTCAGGCCATTAAAGTGTAACTTTTGAAAATACAACTCAGAAAAACATAAAGGCTAAATCTACCTTGACAGGTCATAGATAGGTATCTTTAGTAACCAGACAAGTTGTATTTTAATTATAAAATATACAGTATATACTGAAAAATAGTTTAACATTTGCAGATGTAACAATTTTCTTTTAATAAAAATATAACAAGACCACCATGTGAATATAAAATATATATATATATATTTAAAACATTACTATATAGTACAGTATTGCTAACTTGCTTTCTAGTTAAATTACTAAAAGATGCTATATCTTAAAAAAATACTAAGTAAACTGAATTGAGTATTTTAAATAAAAATATTACTCTCTAAAAACCTTATAAGAACTAAAATCAAAACTTTATATCTAATATATACATATTATATTATATAAAAAAAACCTAAAATTGTATCCTAACTCTAAATTTTAATAAAAATAGTTAAATTACCCCTGGTTAAAAATAGTTAAAAACTATTTATAGTATATAGTATATTAATTTTAAAATTGTATTTTTAAAAATAATTAAGATATATATTAACGTATATACAGTATATAAAAAAAAAATTACTTAATTATATTAAAATATTTATAAAAGTACTGTATATAAATATTGTATATATATTAGATTTTTTGTAATTATGCTACTAAAACAAAAAATAAAATTATATATATATATATATATATTGTATATACTAATAAAAATATACACATAACATTATAAGTGGCTATATATTTGGCATTGTATTGCAGTATTGAAAATCCAAAAACAAAAAATATATTTTTTACTGTGTAAGAAAAAAAAAAAAAATCCATTCGTAACCAGTACGGTCTAACATATCTACATTTTGACAGTGATTCCGCAATCGCTCTTTATTTATGAACAATGCGGCCACAGTCTAAATATCGTAACAAATAATTAAAGTAATAATACTTTGAAAACATCATATTGTGCCTTAGTACATGATTTAGGTATCTAATAGAATTTACTGTACAACTTGGGTGTAAATTAATTTAAATATACCCCTGTTAATAATGAGAATCAATCGTCATCATCTATATGAAGTTATATACTCAGTTTTGCTCTCTACAAAACGAGTTTACAATATATGTTATTATAGTATTGTTAATAGAAAAATTTTCATATCTGACATTGTCCTGTTAAAAAAAGGAGTTTGAATGTTTAAGCCGTCATGATTGCCCGCCATTTTTTTTCAATATATTAATAAAAATTCAATTCTATTTTCATTAGAATTAACCTTCTTCAGAATCAGATATATCATTTAACTGTGTCAATCCTAAACTTTCTTCATTAAAAGCGTTCAATAACGTAGCATCTCTTGTTTTCATAAGCTCATGTACGTCTAATGACATTGATGATCGTAATACACCATTACCGTTTTGCGAAGACCTATTTAATAGTCCATCGGTTTTTGCAACATTTAGAAGAAATACGCCGGCAAAAATAGTTAGGAACCCACAAAATAGGCTGATAACATTGACCGCATTACTGGTATTGAATCCTTGAAATAGTAGAACAGAAGCGAATATTGTTGATGTTGTAAAAAATACGTAATATATAGGATTTACACTGAAAAAAATAAATTAATATTAGTAATAGTTAGCAAGAAAAGATAAAATTAGGGAAAAAGAAACTTTACATATTAGTTTCAAATTGATCCAGAGCTTTGTTAAAATAATTCATTTGTACCAATATACACAGGCCAGAAATGATTATAAACACATAAGTTGATGGATGAGTAAACTGATTGTTACCCGCGAACGTTAATTTGAGAGCTATGCCAAATCCTTTGCAAGACATAACAGATATTGACCCAACCAAAGAACAAATAGATAAATATACCAAAGGGTTTTTTTTTCCGTATTTTGGTACAACACGTTGTATCGCGAAAAGAGTATAAAAAGTGACCAGCACACAGTATAATGAGAAAGCTATAAATGGAATTGAATGATAGAAAAATCAATATTACTATGAGCAAATGATAAAATTAATGACATTAAAAGAATAACACCTGCCAGGTTGGAGAGCAAAGGCAAGAATTTCGTCAACAGTCACAATATCCCTATCTGCTGGTGCATGTATCACAATATTTATCGAACCGATCAAACACAAGCCACACCCTACTGTCCCTATTCGCCCAAGATTTTCCTTGAGAAATAGTGAAGCTAAAACAGCTCTAATAAATTCCAAGCATTTTAAGTAAAGGATAAAATACGACCACTTATGCAGTTCACAGATTGTGTATTAATTTAAAAAAACTTAAAACATTTATCACTTACCCGATTAAAACACTCAAAGCACCGAGGGGAGTTACGAGGATAGCGGGAGCAAATGAATAGGCAGCAAAATTGAGCAATTCACCAATCACCACTAAAAAGGTTAGAACAATAAAATCGAAGAAACATTGAAGAAACATAAGCAACTATAAATATACAAATCACAAAGGATTTCCGAAAAATAAAAGTTCATTAATATACTTGTGCTCATTCCTATCCACCAGATCGGATTCCTTAGGTAACTATGGTCTTCACTAGAGGAACCTATAACAAAGGAATAAATAAGTTAAAAGCAACCAGACTAGTGAAATATGGAAGTCATTAACGAAGCTACCATGTCTACGTGTTGAATCGATTAGACCCTTTTTCGTTATGATAAAAGACGTGCCGATCAACAGACTAGAAGAGACAGCCAGTGCCAACCCGATATATTTGTCGTGATCACCAACCATTCTTTATAAGCTTTAAATATTTTTTCACAACTATTGACTGTTGACGAAATTAAAATAAAATTCAAGAGCAAAACTTAATTACTTAACCCTGTCTCAGGATTTTTAACCTGTTCCATGTTGTACAATTTTGATAAAACTGATACATTTATAAATTTTCATAAAGTTAAGTTAACCGAATTTGGAAATTTTAATACTTCAGATCTATTTTTAACTTCGGCACATCAGAATATATATTCCACTTTTCCCATTTAACCTCGTAGTGTTTGTTAAAGATGGTCTTCATTTGCCATGAAAATTATTTTAAACATAGATCATCATAACAAAAAAATAAGAATGCAATCTTAGGCTGGGTGAAGTTTTATTACTCCGTATCTCTCCGTTTTTTTTTCGAATGAAACATGTTTTAACATGTCTGATTCCTGAACTCTCTAACATATAGAAATTATAATATTAGAAATCCTATAAAATGAAATAAGTTATTTCAATTTTTGTTAAATAAATCTCATCTTTAAAAGTAAGATAACGAATTATAGTAGAAAAAAAAAACTAAGCACGTGCGAAAAAGCAAGTTTATATGTAAACGATCTACTCTTCGGAAATGATTTAAAGAAAAAAATCTGCATAATGGTCGTACTACAAGCTGCCACATGCGTTTTTGTTTTCCAAGATCAATAATAATAAGCTGCAACATAATGGCGATTGGTTGAAATTCCCCCAAAACCTGATTTTTATGTTAATTTATTGCCCGAAGAATTGCTGATAACAGATATGGCACAACACTTACGTATAAGGGAATATATCATATGGTCACATATATGAGTGTCCGATAGTTATATATTTTACTTAGTTGAGCCACATGATTTTTTGAAGTTATTAAAATCAATGGTTTTTGATCTATTAATAATAAAATTTTGGATAATTAATATGTAAACAGTAAAGAATATGGGGCGTAAAGTTTACAAATATTTTGAATTTTAGTTATAAATAATCACAATAGATTTATTATAGTAAAAGTTTTAGAATTTAATCTTGAATTAATACCAGTATTTTGCTAGAAAATTATTTTTTAAAAACCACTTGTTTTTGTTGCTATTTGCTATAATTATGTCCGAAGCGTAGCGAGAATCACCAAAATTTGTCACGACAATTTTCGAATTTGACTGGTGCATTATGTAAACAACGTGTAATTAATACTGTATTTTTTATATGCATCAGGAAATTTTGAAAACTGATTATTATCACTCCTACCAATTACACGCGAAAAAGATTTTTATGAAGATTTTATTGATTATAATAAAACTAATTGATTATAATCGATTTAATTTAATTGCTTTTAATATCGACTATTATCGATTTTGATTTAAATCAACCTCACCGATAATAATTGATTAACTGCTTGCAACTGATTATAATCAGATTTTAAATTTTCCTGATGGATTCTTAACAACTATCTGATTAGTTAATGAAAATTTTTTTTATTAGTTTTACAAACTTGTAGAATTGAACTAAAAAAAAATTTTTATTGAACATCAGGAAAATTTAAAACCTGATTATAATCAGTTGCAAGCAGTTAATCGATTATAGTCAATTAGTTTTAAGTGATTATTATCGGTGGGGATGATAATTGATTTATGGCATTTTGCAAAAAGGTGTGACCTTTGCAGATAATGATATCATGTAAAATCACGAGAAATCGGCCGATTCTAATAGATTTTTTGATTCTTAGAAAATTTTAAAGATTTCGAATAAAATATAGACATTATTGATTGAAAATTATGATCAATAGGGAATTAAAATCTCAGAAACTCATTATCACGAATCACAGGGTCACACCTTTTTGCAAACTGCTATAAATCGAAATCGATAATAGTTAAAAGCAATTAAATTAAATTGATTATAATTGATTAGTTTTATCATAATCAGTAAAAATCTTTATTGCATGTAATTGGTGGGGTGATAATAATCAATTAAATCATCAGATTTTAATCAATTACAATTAGTTTTTAAAATTTCCTGATGAATTTGACCTGATAGTTCAAAAAAACTGTTTTAAGTTTTAAAAAAGTATTGAAAATCAAAAGATAGCTATGTTTATAATTTTTTAATAGTTTTACTACAAAATTCCGAAAGACAGATTCCCAAAGGGATATAATACCAACAAAGTTAGCCAGTATAATGTTGGCCAATTTGGTTAGTATTATGTTCTTTTAGGAAAATAGTTTTCAGGATTTTGTGGTAGAACCTTTTTTAATATTTAAATAAGAATTTCTTAATAACTACTAGGCCAAATTTAATAAAATTTTTATTTTAATTCTATATATTTGTAGAATTAAAACTTAGTTAAATAATTATTAAAAAATAATTATATTTATTATAAACTATATCTATTATGTTTTTTAAAAAATTTTTTGAATATAAAATTTTTTTAACAATTCAAAGCTCTTTTCAACAATCATTTGTACCAAATTTTTTACTAAAAAAAACAAACATTTTGTTGAAATTAGTAGCAAAGCATTTGAAGACTTTTTTATATATTTAGTATAGTGTTGTCTACTAGAATGTTCTAGTAGAAATTACTAAAACTGGATGGCTATTGGATTTAACTAGATAAAATTGGAAGCAAATTTACTTTCAATAATCGGATATTTACTGGACTGTTCTAGTGGAGATTTTTATTGACTAGATAGAACTTCTAGTAACTTCTAATGAAAAAAAAGATATACAATTTTAAAGCATGGTGGACAAACCCAATTTTGGGTGATCGTCATTGTGGCTTAGCCAATTTAATAAAAAAATTTTTTGATTTTTTATACAGGTTAAAGTACTTTTTATTCTTGCAGTTTCTCAAAACCTACCAAATTAACCCGCTCTAAAAAAAAAGAGAGTAAAAAGTCTTCGAATAACCTATATACTATTAAAATTAATCCCAAATA